AAAAAAAAAAAAAAACATAAATTGAATAAAGTTTCAAAAAAAAAAGAAAAGAAAAAAGGAGACGACCTTGAGATATCATCATTGGACTGACACGCCCCAGATAATTCAGAATGATTTTATTCTGTTCAATTTGTCGCATCTGGATTCGAACTTGGGTCTATATTTCAACAGTTCATTGGTGTACCTACTGGCCTCGGCCGGCCGGCAGTCAGTAAGCTGAAGAACTTTTGCCTCAGGGTCACATCGAAATTCTTTACCAAATCTCCCAGCTTTCATATCAATAAAGATTGATTCTTTTTTTTTTCAAAAAAAAAAGAAGGGGAAAATTTTTGCCCGAAGTTTGCGTTTATTTGCGGCGTGCCCCTGTGAAGGCCGACTTACCCTATGGTGCCCCTCGGGCCTCTGAAATTTTCGGCAGGCCCCTGTCAGCATGGGGCGTACCTTTCCGATATGCCCTTACTGGACCACTGGTGGCGTTTCGTCGGTCCATCCTTGAAATGCCCTCACGAGGGGCACACAACTTTCTGTGATGCCGTTGCAGCAGTGGCTGCGGGAATTCAAATTCGAAGTGGTAGGCATTTCATGCGCCGCCGCGGAAAAATGGTGCAGCAGTGAGTCTTTGAGATCGCCGTGTCGGTGATCGATGCGTTGGACTGCATACGGCTACCGTGCGAAGGGGAGCGTGCGCTCGTGTGTGTGTGTGTGTGTGTCCATGTGCATCGCCCTCCTCCCTCCTCCATCCATGCTCATCGTCCTCCTCCCTCCTCCTCCTCCGTCCTCGATTTCTCCTCTCTTCTCGTCCAGCCTCCAGCCTCTATCGTTGTCCGTCATCATCAGAGTCCTTGTCCTCCCTACTCCTCTTCCCCTCCTCTTCCCTCGTTCCTTCTCCTCCAACTTTCTCCTCGTCACCCCTCCCTCTCCTCCTCGATTGTCGACCTCCTAACATGACCATGGCCGTCTTCTTGGTGTCATCGCCCATGCACGCGCGCGCGTCTGCATATGTGTGTGTGTGTGTGTGTGTGTGTGTGTGTGTGTGTGTGTGTGTGTGTGTGTGTGTGTGTGTGCCCATCGCCCTCCTCCCTCCTCGTCCATCACCGTCATAGTCCTTGTCCTCCCTACTCCTCTTCCCTCCTCTTCCCTTGTTCCCCCTCTTCCCTCCTCTTCCCTCGTTCCTCCTCTTCCCTCGTTCCTTCCTCCTCCAACTTTCTCCTCGTCACCCCTCCCTCTCCTCCTCCTCGATTGCCGACCTCCTAACCATCAGCATGGTCGTCTTCTTGCCGTCATCACCCAAGCACGTGTGCGTCTGTATATGTTTGTGTGTGTGTGCGCAGTGTGCGCGTGTGTGTATATGTGTGGTGTGTGTGTGTGTGTGTGTGTGTGTGTGTGTGTGTGTGTGTGTGTGTGTGTGTGTGTCCATGCTCATCGCCAAATTTCTGATATGCCCCGGTAGCACCTCAGCCGGGGCCAGGGGAAAGACTACGAGTGTCAACAACGGCCACAGGGGATCACTGGAAAGATAGAGTACCAATAAGGGCATATGGAAAACTTTTGTGCTGGTTCTCAACGGCCATCGGGCAGGGGCATACTGAAAATTTGGTACTGGTACCACTAGGGGCATATGAAACATGTTTCAGGCCCAAACGACGCCAGGGGTTTTCTGGAAACATCACTCGTAGTCAGAGGGGGGCGACAAGGTAAGTCGGCCGTCAGAAGGGCACACCGCAAATAAATGCAAACTTCAGGGGCATTTCGAAAATTTCCCCCCCAAAAAAGAAGAAATTCTTTGCCTTTAAATATATATATATATGTATATCGGTGAAACTCCGACGAAACAGTTTGTCACAGCCCCTCGTTTGTTGTCCTCTTCTCCCTCTCTGCCTACGCTTTACCGGGCAGTTCTATTTGACGATATATATATAAACATGGTAAGATTTTAACAGTGCCAAACACTGGCCAACAAGCTTTTGAACATGTTGGTAAACATTTTCTAGGTTTGACCCCATTGTTACAACTTCAGCACGCACACACGTATCCCCTTATGCATTCTGACCAGCCTTCAATAGTGTGAGGATGCCCTGAAACAACCATAGAACACTCGTCCATAAAATGGCATAAATCTCTCTCTCTCTCTCTCTCTCTCGTCACAAACAGAACTGCCCCGTAAACCGTAGGCAGAGAGAGAGAAGAGGACAACAAACGAGGGGCTGTGACAAACTGTTTCGTCGGAGTTTCACCGATATACATATATATATATATATATATATTTGGCCCAGCTGGGAAAGTGGTCCCGGGCCACTCTGGTAGCCCAGGTTAACAGAATCACAAACAAACTCTCATTCATGAAGTTTGGCACAGGAATCAGTAATTAGAGGTGATAGAAGAATCCCAGGCCAATGAAGAAATCCAATAAAAATATGATTGCAATGAAAACAGGACTACAGTCTTCACCCGAATAGAACACCCGGTCACTATAGCTGCATCTGGTCTGAAAGTTGCCCCAAAAAATACAGCCATAATGACCGGGCGTTCTATTCGGGTGAAAACAGGACTAGTGTCTCAGGAGCACCTGAAGAAGTTGTGAAAAATGTTCTACATGCTCCACCTTGTTTTGTGCACTAAGGATGCAGATTGGCAATGGGGCACTACGGCACTTCTCAATTTAGTCGGTAAATTGGTCAGCCTACTAAAGAAGAGCCTCTCTCTCTCTCTCTCTCTCTCTCTCCCCACACACACACACACACACACACGCTCTCCCTCTCTCTCTCTCTCTCTCTCTCTCTCTCTCTCTCTCTCTCTCTC